TCAAAATAGGAGAATGAACTCAAAGAAATAGGAAATAATACTGTCTTCTATAGTTTTCACTTTTAACATAATAATTTATATATTTTTCTATTATTCTTTATAACAATCCCAAAATAGAATGAAAAAATATTTTGACCTCTATAAAGGTAAATTTACAACAAATTTTAATTATGTTTTTCCTTAATCTCTTTTTAAATCATATGTAAGAATATAATAATTGAAGGGTATATAATATCTTCTTCTAATCTTCTTTTATTCTTTCGTAGAAAAAACGAAGCAAGACAAAATAACGAACAGCAGATTATTGATGTGAGTGATAACGATGAAAATCAAAATAATGAAAATCAAAGTAACTATGAGAAGGACAATTAAAATAATTAAATAGTATCATAATATATAAACATGTAATGCAATCTCATTAGATTTAAAAACTCTTTTGATTTTACTTTTATTTTACAAGAAGGCTGAGCCTTACAAAGTTTTTTTAAGATTAAGCTTACTTGTTCTTTTTTTAAGGGTTTATTACGTGTTTAATAAAAAATTACAAAATGTCGGCAGTAAGAAAGAATAAAAAGAGATTAAAGACATGGATAAATGGATAGTTGGAGTGTGTGAGAGAAAGAAAATAATAGAGTAAAAGAGAGACTAAACGAAAGAATTAAATAGAATAAATGAAAAAGTTAAAGAAAAAAAAGAGGGAGAGAAATATTTGTATAAAATGTGATAAACGTCAAGAAATTTCCACCGTGTCAATTTGAATAATATCTCACATGCAAACAAAATATTTGGAAAGAAAATTGAAAGGAAACGTTCTTTAAAAGTAAATGTTTCAAACAAGAAGGTTGGAATTATTTTTACAAAATTAATTTAAAAAGAAATAAATAAAATAATAAATTATATAAAAAATTAATAATATAATACAAGTATATAATTTAAAAAAACAAAAAGAAGAAAAGAAGAAAAGAAATTTATTTATATATATATATAGTAAAAATATTAATGAAAAAAATAAAAGTAAGTGCAATTTAATAAGAAAATTACAAGTAAGTTTTTTTTTATTTTTCTTAAAGCATTTTTAAATTCATTCTCTTTAATTTCACTATTTTATTTTCTTTCTAATTATTTGATTCTCTTTTATTCTCTTATTCTCTCTTATTTTCTCTTACTCTCTCTCTCTCTTACTCTGTCTCTCTATCTCTCTATTTAATTCTTTCTTATTCTCTCACTCTCTCTCTTTAATCTCTAATTCTTTCTTATTTTTTCTTATTCTTTTATTCTCTTTCTTATTGTCTTATTCTATTATTCTCTCTCTTACTCTCTTTCTCTTATTCTCTGTATATCTTTCCTTTTTTTCATTTTAATGTTAAATAATAATTTTTCCTTTTTTAAATGTTTTCAGAAATTTAGAAAATTAATTAACAAAAAAGAAAAAAATGAATTCAAACAAATGTCAAACTCTGGTGGAAGCGGAATTGGATTTTTTGGAATTCCTCGAAGGAGACGATGATGATGAAAATGATGGCGCCGCCAACATAAGGAAAAAAATGAATTTAAACAAATGTCAAACTCTGCAGGAAGCGGAATTAGCCTTTATGGCATATATGGAAGGAGACGATGATGACGGAAATGATAGCGCTGCAAGCAGTTACAAAAAAAAGAGAATTAGCAAAAAAAATGTGATTAAAAAAAGTGAAAAATATGAAATGAATGTGGTGAATATGAATGTGACGAATGTGTATGAAAATGATAAGGATGTTTGGAGTAAAATGGATGTTGAGACAAGTGAAAATTATGGTATGAATGATTTTATTATAAAAAGAAAAATGTGTGTGAGTGAAATGGAAGAAAGTAAGAGTATAAATGATGAAAATGAAGTGAATAAAAATGACGAAGAGAAATGGAAAAAATACGACAATTATTATATTTATTTTGAAGAAAATAAACATTTTAAAATTGAATTAATTATAAACGACGACAGTGACGACGACAGTGACGATGTTGATGACAATGATGATGACGATGATGCTGTAGTTGATGTTGATGACGATGATTATGACTGATGATCATTAATTAATTTGTATAATTTGTTTTAAAAAGATTAAAAATTACATTTAAATAAAAAGAAAAAATTTAAAAATGTGTTTCATTTTAATTTTAAATATTCCCTCCCTCTCTCTCTATTATATTTATTTCAATTATTCAATTTATATGTTCTTGTAACTTTTTTAGCCCTTAAAATTGGATGATTATAAAAAAAAATTTCCTCAAAAGTTTAAAATTGATTAACTGTTTTTTTAAATGTCATTGTTTATATGTTAAAAAGTTTGAAAAAAACAATTTAAAATTTGAAAAAAAATATATAGCTACCTTTCTTTTATAGAGACAGCTTTGGCCACTGATTAAAAATTACGGTTGTCACTGTAGTTCATATAACTGAATCATTTAAAATAAAATAAAAATTAATCATAATTCTAAAATGGACGACTTAACCCCTTAACTGCCGACTGTAAAACACTAAATGTACCCAGAATGCCAAGAATAAAAAATCGTCCAATTTGTCTGAAACTTGTTACTCAGGGGTTTTCGGGGTCGCTGATTACGAATCTGATCTCGGTTATTCAGAATTCAAAATGGCGGATCCAATATGGCGGACGGATTTTTAAAAATTAATCCAAATTACCTGAAATTTGTTACTCGGGGGTTTTTGGGGTCTCTGATTACGAATCTAATGATTCGTAATCAGGGTCGCTGATGATGAATCCGATGTAAGTTTTTAAAAATTAAAAATTGCGGATCCAATATGGTGAAATTTTTTTTTTTTAATTTTGATTTCGCTTGAAACTTGTCACTCGGGGATTTTTGGGATCGCTGATGACGATTTCTATGACAGTTTTTCAAAATTCAAAATGGAGGGTCCATTATGTCGGATATTTTTTTTTAATTTTGTATTTTCTTGAAAATTATCACTCGGGGGTTCTCGGGGTCGCTGATGACGAATCGGATGTCTGTTTTTAAAAATTCAAAATGTCGGATCCAATATGGCAAACATTTTTTTAAAAAATTTCTGTTTTTATCATAAAAGCAGAACAAATTTTACGAATGCCGGTTTCATAGAACAGCTACAAAAAGAGTGCAAAAATTGAAATTCCATTGAAATGTCCTAACGCATTTCACCTTTCCAATAAGTTCATGGGTTAAGTGGATATTTGTAATTAGCGACCTCGAAAACAACCGAGTAACAATTTTCTGGTAAATTGGATCAGTTTTTAAAAAAGTGATCCGCCATATTGGATTCGCCATTTTGAATTTTGAAAAACCGACATCATATTCGTAATCAGCGACCTCGAAAACCCCCGAGTAACAAATTTCAGGTAAATTGGATTAATTTTTAAAAAATTCATCCTTCATATTAGATCCGCCATTTTGAATTTTTAAAAACCATCATCATATTCGTAATCAGCGACCCCGACAACCCCCGAGTAACAAATTTCAGGTAATTCGGATCAATTTTAAAAAAGTCGTCCGCCATATTGGATCCGCCATTTTGAATTTTGAAAAACCGACATCATATTCGTAATCAGCGACCCCGAAAACCCCCGAGTAATAGATTTCAGGCGGTTTTAGATATTTTTCAAATAAAAATGCATTGTATTTTCCATGGCAAAGATTTTGAAAAATTTGCTAAAAGTGTTGTTTTTAAAAATTTATAACATTTTTAAAATTCACTGAATTTAAGAACAGAAACGTGCGTCGCATTCTGCATAGCGTTGACTTTTTAGAAATCATTTTATTTTTAATTTTCAGCCATTTTTGACTTTTTTACATCAATTTTTATCATGGCAAAGATTGTCAGTTTTCCGGCAGTCAGAGCAAAGTCCGAAATGGCAAAGACCTTTACCATCGGCAGTCAAGGGGTTAATACAGGACCTAAACCTCTGATTTACTACTAATGTTCAAAATTACACTTTTGGTGTATTATTTATGTTTAAAAAATTTGTCTTTTTTTAAATTTTTTAGATTTAAAATTTTACCATTTTCTTAATTTGTAATGTTTTCCTGTATGTATTATTATCAATTATTTATTAATTAAATATTAAATTATTTATAATTAATTATAATATATAATTAATATAATTATTAATTGGTAATTATTAAATAATTAAAAAAATTTTTTTAACTTCATTATTGACATTATTATTATACAAATATGTAAAATACATATATATATATATACTTTTCTCACCAGAAATAGTTATTTCAGGAATTTAAAGGAAACTCATAGCAATAGTATATACGGAATTCAAAGAAGTATGTACACACACACTTATGAGACATTCTCTGAAAAAAGCCACTTAAAAAAAGTGCTGTTTTTTTGGCCAAAATATGTCTTTTAGTACATCCAAAAACTAAGAGAAAAAACATGATTTTAGGTCCGTGCAATGCGGGGTTGCCATACTGTCAGGGGTTACACTTTTTACTAAAATAATTTTCGAACAAATGAATGGATTTTAAAACGCCCAGAGAGTTTTTTCAGCAGAATTACCTAAACTTTACACTATGTTAACACAAATTTTTAACCCTTTATGCCTTCTTTGATTTTTTTCAAAATTACCTCAAAATATTTATTTTTTTATTACCTTTTTATCCCACCAAAAGAAATTTTGGGACAGCAATATTTGTATGAGTTACAAATTAAGAACTAGCTCAGCGCACGCTCTCAATTCGAGAAAATGCTGTCGCGTACAGAATTCGAGTACTCAAAAATGCCACTAGGTGGCACTGATGAATGCTTTCTTACAAATCATTTTTCGCAAAATATCATATTTGGGTTGATGTGCAACACTTTTTTTTGGGGGTGGACTAGGTAGTTACTACTTTTTACGTGCTATAACTGCGCAGTGGCGGATCCAGCCTTCATTCCAGGGGGGGGTCATGAAAAAAAAAAAATATATATATATATATATGTGAAAAAATATAATATATGGTATAATATAATTTATTCACTTTCTGAGTAACAAGAATTACATTTAATTTAATTTAATTAATTTAATCAATATAATTAATTAATAATTAATTAATTAAATTTAATTTAAAATTTTTTTAAAATTTAATTTTAATTTAATTACATTTATTTTTATTATTAAGAATATTATTATCTTTAATAAGATTGGCATAAAAATTATATGATAAAATCTAGTTTCCTTTTTTTTCTTGCAAATCGATCGATGACTTCATTTCCATCAAATACAATCTGGTGGTGGATATTCAATAGTGCTAATCCAGTCAGACGCTCTTCTCCCATAGATGTCCGAAGATATGTTTTCAGTCGACGTAATGTTGAAAAAGACCTTTCTGCTGTCGCCCCACTCACTGGTATACTTGCAAGGATGTGCAAAAAAGTTTTGACATTCGGGTAGAGATCACTGTCACAAACGTCAATTATTTGGGGTACCGTTTGAGGAATTTTACTTCCATTTTCCAATTCTCTTTGCCACTTAGTTACCCAAAGTTTATATTCCTGAACTACGGTAGATTCATGAACTCGATCTAAAAGCTCATTATAAAACCTAGTGACCTTACGTACAATATCTATATCATTCTCATTATAGGTTGATTTTGGCAAAAATACATTTAAGTTAAATAGATCTAGCACTTCAGGAGAAAGTCTTTCTTGTAGGTCATTTATGATGTGGTCCAAAAGGGGTACGTATATAGACCTGCGGTAATATTCTTCAGCAGATTGTGCTGGTAGATTATTAGGCCGATGTATTTGTCTTGCAGTTATGCGAGGAGATCTCAGCTCTACGTCCAACTGTTCAGCAATTTCTTTAGCTTCAGAAAACAATTGTTGGAAAACGACTGCAGCATTTTCTCTTTTTTGCTGTAGTATACTTATTGTATCTGTTATTGCATCCATAGCAGTTTTCAAATCTACTGAAGCTGTCTGCAGTAAACGACTGAGTGATACAGTTGTCCCTAAAAATGAAACATAGTTAAGGTTAAACAAACAGTTAAAAAATTTCAATATAAAAAAATAATTATTTTATATAAAATGTATAGTTTACCTAAAATATCATTTAAACTGACAGATGATATAATGAAATCACAACTTCGTAGAGCTTGCAGTAGACAATGAGCATCACTAGAAGTTTTTCTGTCATTCCACACTGTAATTCGTTGCAGGGCGTTACAAATTTTTACTAAATTGTCGCCTTGAAATTGTAAGTGCCCATCATGTCTTTCAACCCAACGAGTTTCGCAAATACCCTTCATTGCATTGCCTACTTCCTCAACAAATACTTCATGACGTTTAGCCGAAGCATTTGCAAAAGCAACAACTTTTCTCATCGTAGCAGAAGTATTACGGCACGAGACGACTTTTACGGAATTACCCAAAGAATTGTTTAAAACGTGATTATTACATGGCGAACGTTTAGCATGTTTAGCTTTTTTTCGCAATTCGTGAACTGCTCCTTTTATTTCAGATGCCATGACCGCACAACTGTCAGTACAAATTCCTACACACCAATTTAAATCTATATTAAATTTGTAGCATAGGTCTGTTACAATTGTGGCTAAAGCTTCGCCAGTCAATCGACGCTCTTGTTCACTATCTGTTATCACGACATCTCCCTTTTCGTAACGAAGCATCTCGTACGCATTGCAAAAAGTGATAAATTCCTCTTTGATACTGCCATTATGAAAATATCTGAATGAAAGACTTAGTTGCTCAATGTGTGATATGTCTGTTGTTTCATCGAAGATAATGGAAAAGAATTTAGCTTCTTTTAAATTATTTAAAATTTTTTCCTGTATTATTTCCTTGCATATGTCGATAAGTTCATTTTGAACTGTTTTACTGATGTACGTTGCATTGTTTTTGGCAGTTTCGAAATGATGTTGCAATATTTTGTCACCAGCTTCTATGCGAAATTTTAAAAGAGCTCTAAAGTTTCCATTTTCATTCGATACCAAACTGTCTTTAAAAACTTGCTCATTTTTGATTGTGCTTAAAAGCATTCCATCGTCTCTATGCCCACGTAAAGAAATATTTTGACGTCCACAAAAGATAATTGTACTGACAATCGGTTGTAAGCGTCTTCTATTTTCTTTTACTTCAGCCATGCGTTGAGTACAAACCTGGTTAGCAACGTCAGCATTAGAATTATAAAAACTTTTTAAAAATTTTTTTCCACATTCAACGGCCATTTGGTGATATTCATTTTTTTCATGCTTTAAAAGGGCTCCCTTTTCCCCCAGCAAATTGTCAAAAACTGTTAATGGTTCTTTGACCAATCTTTTAAGTGTCATTTTATTTTGAAAACCTCCTCCTTCAGACACAACAAAAAGGGCACAATATTTACAATACAGACCACGGTCTTTGTGCGACAAAACGAGCCAATGAAATTTTTCCAGATGTGACCTTTGAGCGTATTTTTTTGTTTCCTTTCCATTTTTGGTCACAATATTATAAGGAAACACGTATTTTGAAGGTGGCATCCAATGATTCTGAAGTAACATGGCTTTGGTTTCTTCATTTATCTGTTTTCCTATATAACAACCAATATCTGATGCCATATCAGATTGAGCTGGCGGGTTTTTGGAATCATCATCACCGGAAAAACTCGTTGACAATTCTGTTGCAGCAGCAGGAACAGAAGTTTTCGGGACATCAGTTTTTGGTGTTAGGGAATTGGGTTCTTCACATTCGACAGTGTCTAATTTTGGTTTTTTTGTTAAAAAAGTATCAATTTTCCTGAAAGAATCTTCTCCACGTTTTATATGACCACCTTTTTTCTTTAAATCGCTCTACATCATAAAAAAAAATTCCATATAAATAAATAAAGGTGTTTGAAAACAAAATTAACACATGTGTTTAATAATATACTCACCATGATTATTCTTTTCGGTTTTCAAAGTCTATTTTTTACATATTCACACAAATAAACTTAAAATACTTGTATGTTAGGTTATTAATGCTAAATAAAAATCTTCTTGAAAGCGATAATTATTTCTTTGCTATTGACAAAAGTTCAAAATCAACGTCACGAACAAACAATAAGATGGCAAAATTCATTACAGTGAAACGAAAAAATCTTGGTAAAATATATATGTCATATACAAGTAACCTTAAAATAATAAAAGCATATTAACATATATTATTTCAAATTATAAACAGTAAAGCATTGAACCTCAGAAACTTACATAACCTCAGACCGAAAATAAACTTAACCGGAAAAAGTTTTTGAATTGTACTGAAGTCATTCACTAATATCGACACTCTTAGAAAATTTAATATATCAGAAATAATTACATATTAGATGCATGTGTTTATTGATGTTTATAGAACCTGTCAGATGTTTTCTTCGGATTATTGAAATCGATTCAATCGAAATCGACTTTGAGAATCGATTATTTTAAGATTCGACTTTCAGGGTGAGACAATTCTTAATGAAAAAGTACTTGCATTAAGGTTTACGCACAACTAATTCAGATACGGGTGACGAATGCGGGATAGATATACATTTTGTCCAGTTATCCTTTTCTATATCATTTAAAGTTCACGATTTTGAATGTGCTTAGGCCTAATTCGATAAATCAGGAACAAAAGAAGATTGTAACCCCAGGTCTCAGAAGATTAGAAATTTAGAATTGAACAATTAGCCGACATATATGTATATTCAGCTTATTTAAAACACCAAATCAGATTCAAATTTTTAATTTTTCTAAAACAAATTTTATTTTTTTTCTTGTTCCAGACTCCCAGGGGGGGGGTCATGACCCCCCCTGGATCCGCCACTGTAACTGCGATTCACATGATGAATAAAAATTATTAATTATTTTCCTATAATTATATTCCTTATTCAGTTATGAATAAATAAAAAATTAAACAAAAAAAATTTTTTTCTTTGGTGAAATCTCCACTTTTTAGTGGTCAACTATACCTTAGTAAATTTTTTTTGGCAGATTTCGATTAGTTTGCATTAAAAAAGCCTAAAATTAATAATTTCATTTATTTATTTGTTTATACACCCGTCTTAAGCCTACAATCTTGGCTATACAAGTGTTTTACAACCGTCGAAATTTTTCTTTACAAATAATTCTTAATTCACTTAATACTAAATTTTGCGCCTACAGATCGACTTGAAAATTAGGGAGTACTCGCATTTGCCTGGACCACCCGTCTAATGGGTTTTCTCGACAGTGGAGAGGGAAACTGTAGAAAACCTCTCCTGAGTACAACCGGTTTATCGACAGTCGAGTTCTAATGGTGTGTACCGGACAATAATCGACGGTGCACATCATTATACCTCGACGTCAAACCTCTCGCTCAGATTGTCTCACGTGCCGAAAAAATACCAAGCCAAGTGGGCGCGAACCAAGGATACTTATACCCTTGGTCCTTAAACGACCGCCAATGCAAGGCATCTATCCGACTGAGCTAATCTGTCGGTTTTTTCATCAATATTTATGCATTATATACCTGAATTTTACTGCTGTTGCACATCACCCCAACTTTTTTGGAAAATGCAAAAACAGACGTTTTTGAAAAAGCGAAAAATTTGTAGGAAAAATTTAAAATTCTGAAAATCTAATAATGCAGAAATATTCTATTATAATGCCTCTAAGTCATTCAATTTTGAAATATTTAAAAATTTAAATATTTGACATGTTTTTCGGCCAACGAAAAAAAACGTTGCACATCACTTCACAACACCCTACCTATAACCTAACCTATAACTACCTATAACATCAACATTTTACCCTTTTGGTGGTTTCACAAGTGAATAAAAACTGAGCAATCGATAAATCCTGATGAAAAGCAAAGGGTCTGGTTTATCGTATGACCCACAGCATCCACGGATCATTCCAAACATGCCCTGCAAAATTAATATATATATATGTTACGGTCAATGTCCGGAATCGGGCAATGTCGACAATGCCCATACATTTTCAACAATATTCAGCAAAGCGTGTTAATGCCCGGGCAATGACGACAGTGCCCGGGCATTGTTGACATTGCCCATTCATTTTTGGGCAATGTTGTTTACATTAAGGATTAAATTAATTATACTATTAAAATCAGACTTTTAAAGTATTAAATCATTGGTAAAAATGGCCAGTGACAACGTGAGTGATATTTTTTTGTTAATAGAGCATTAATATTGGGGTTATTTATTAGTTCTAAGTTTTATAATTTATTAAAAAAATTCAAAACATCACATTTTATAACCATATAGTTAATAATTTAACGACACTCAATCTATTGTACACGAAATAATATTACAATTTACGAGACATTTTATTTATAACTAGTCGGTACATTTCGATTAAAATGAATTTAAATTAAATTAAAAAATTAATTATTGACATTGCCCAAACTGGACCGGGCATTGTCGACATTGCCCGAAAAAACTTCATAATATAAATTATTTCGGACATTAACCGAAATTGATGGTCATTGTCGACAATGCCCAGTGGTTGTAGGCAATGTCGACAATGCCCGGGCATTGTCAGACATTGCCCGATTCCGGACATTGATATATATAAAATTAATAATTTTCACTGTTTGGAGTTACAAAGTAAAAAAACGTGTAAAGATCATAGAATTAAATATATATCCAAATTATAACTTAGCATACCTCTAACGCATCTTGATTTAATCCCGTTGTCATAAGAAAAGAATATTGGCATTCCTTTGTCAAAAAATCCATAACTTCAATCGTAGATTGTAACGTTTCTTGAAAACCGTCATAAGTGCTAGCAGACATGAAGCGATAATCGTTACTTTTATTTTGAGTCCTCCAAAGTGTCAAATAATCTCGGAAACTTGTTATTGCCTGCATTGTTCACGTTAATTGTTATTTTTATTTAAATTTACAAATTTCTTATTCAGTTAAACCGTATTATTTTATTTAGTTGAATTAAAAAAGGGCCAGTTAAATTCAATCCCATTGAAATTTCTGTTTTTTATAGGAGTGAACATTTTTTAAAAATATTAAGTAGTTAAAATTATAAGATGTGTGTACATTTTCGAAAAGTAATTAGTTAATAATTTTTATGCTAAGTACTCTCATTGAGAATATAATATATATAAATCAAACATCTTTAAGATACAGTCAATCAAAAATTATTTTTGAATTAAAAAAAATTATTTCGATTCAACACACAATAAATTTTATTCAATAAAAATTATTTTAATTCAATTATAAAATATCTTTAATTCAGACAAATTTTTTTGGTTGTCTACTTATTTTTGGATTAAAAAAGTTTTTCTCAGTGTGAAATTCTATCAAAGAATACAAATTTCACCTTTTCTTATAATAATTTCTATTCGTTTCGAATGCAAATTTTTATACGATTTTAAAGAATTTTTAAAAATGAAATTAAAAAAAAGTCTAGAATGTAATACTTTTTTTAATTTTAATAATATAAATTTTTTAATTCTAAATAATTGCAGGAAAATATTTTCGTAAGTGAAGAACATTAATTTCAAAGAGTTAAAATGTCTCTGGTCAATTCTCGTAGTTATTTTTAAAATAGACAATAGGCTTTTGCATATGTATAACAAAAAAATATTTTAGAGAGAAAAAAAAGTATAAATTGCATCTACAAATTTGTATGTTTGTGTGCAACCCATGCATTTATACATTTATGTACATGTTAGTTTAGTAATTTCCCATAACTTCTTTTGTTGATTTAAAAATAGAATTTTGTGTTAATATTTGGTTAATATTACACAAGAGTTATAGTTAGATTTTTGTCGATTCTGTCTTTATGTTTGTCGAGTTTCTTTTTCATGCTATATCTTGGTATCTCTGCAAAACAGCTTTGCTTTTCCAGTTTAAAGCGGTTGTTGGGCCTTCTTCATCGTGTTGTTTCCTTAATTTATTTTTGTTATCAACATTTTCTTTCGGTTGTACACTACCGTCGGGAATTATCGGTACGGCTGCACGCACACGGCCCAAAAACATACCAATCTTTAAATCACGATTTTCTTGTAAATACAAATGTCAGAAAATTAACAAATATACCATCCGAAAGATAATTAAATTTTACGATTAATGATACATAACTGAAAATTTTAATAATTTATACAAAGATTGCAGCAACCGACAAAAAAATTTTAAAAACAAAATTTTTTTGGAAATTTTTTCAACCTTTGCACATTTTTTAAAAATTGTAGAAAAAATTTGAAACTAACATAAATGTGATCATTCAAGTCTCATCTTTAATTTAAGATCAAAAGAGTTTAAAAATCTTAATCGGTTAGTGAGATATCATTATAAACGTCTGAGCATATTTTATGACAAATTCATTGAATTACTCGATTTTAAACGGTTTTTGGCTGAAAATGCTCGGACGTTTATAATGATATCTCGCTAACCGATTAAGATTTTTAAACTCTTTTAGTCTTAAATTAAAGATGAAACATGAATGATCACATTTATGTAAGTTTCAAATTTTTTCTACAATTTTTAAAAAATGTGCAGAGGTTTAAAAAATTTCTAAAAAAAATTTATTTTTTAAATTTTTTTGTCAAATTTGTCGATTGCTGCAATCTTTGTATAAATTATTAAAATTTTCAGTTATGTATCATTAATCGTAAAATTAAATAATCTTTCGAATGTTTTTGGGCCGTGTGCGTGCAGCCGTACCGATAATTCCTGACGGTAGTGTGTGTGTTTATATTCTCGGCTATTTAATTATGTTTCGTGAGAGTTGTTGGCGTCTGTCATATCTATTTGATTTTCTGATGGTTTTTGTTTGTTACAACAGTTTATGGTGCATTTCACTTTTTTGTTGTATTTTGTTATTAAGAAAATTAGTATTGTAACTACTGCTATAACTATGATAACTATAATCGAACTACTATATATTAAATTTTCTCTCCTACCGACTTTATGCTGACTTTGAATCATTAGTTCCTTTTCAATTTCTTGTAATTTTTTGTCCACTTCCATTTTCCGCCACGTTGTATATATCTCATTTGTTGTAGTTTGGTCAAAATGTAGTTATGTATTTTTTAGTATAGGAGACACTTCATCTATTTTAAGTTCTATTTTTGGATTGTAATAGTATTCGTGTACGTTTTCCGTAATTTGTAACGTAGGTAAGTTAATTGTGTCGGTTTTTATTGCACAGTTTTTGGCGGTGTTGATTATTTCTATTCCTTTTAGTTGATAGGTCTCAGTCATTTTTTTTGGGCAAATTAGGTAAAGTAATCGTCTTAAAAGTTGTTACTCGGGGGGTTTCAGGGTTGCTGATTACGAATCAGGCATTGATTTTTCAATATTCAAAATGGCGGATCCAATATGGCGGATGACAATATTAAAAATTCGTCGGATTCATTTGAAAATTGTTACTCGGGGGTTTTCGGGGTCGCTGATTACGAATATGACATTGGTTTTTCAAAATTCAAAATGGTGGATCTAATATAGTGGAAGATAGTATTAAAAATTCATTAGATTCATTTGAAAACTGTTACTCGGGCGTTTTCGGGGTCGCTGATTACGAATCTGGCTTTGGTTAGAGAGAGATAGCAATCTTTGGAGATAGAGAAATGAGGAACTAGTCAAAGAGGGGGCCAGATGTTTGAACTTAGGTCTCTTAGTGCACACTATTTTAAATACATGTACATTTGCAAGGAAAACCAAGAATTTCTGTGTATAAGTGTACTGTAGCCACACTGAAAGAAATGCTTTGACATTATCAACAATAAAAGTTTAGTTAGGAAATTCTTACTAACCTGAAAATAAGGTTCTTTTATTTTAGCTAAACGCATCATAATAACAATAAACACAATTTTGAAAAACATAAGTACTACTTTAGCTGACAAAGTTATTATTATTTTGTTAGTAAACTTCAAAAATTTACATTTGAATAATATTATAATAATAAAATTAATTAAATTCAATTTAACATTTTAAGGAAATATAAATTTGTCATTCTTAAAAAATGGTTTATAAAATTCAATTTTAAGTTTAAAATGTATTAGAGTAGGAAAAAAAGAGAAAACATTTAAAAGAACCAATAAAATCAACACAAAAAGACGAAAAATTTATCGTTGGCTGACTAACCCCACGAGTACTTTTTTAAAAAAACATTTACAAATCCTGTAATATTAAAAATATCGCAATTCCATTAACACCATCGTCTTCAGCACTAAATTCTGCATTGAAAATCACTTTACAAGAATTTTATTTGTGTAACTCTATTAACAAAAATCACCAAAATAACTCTTAGAAAAATTACATCCAAAAAGTCTGTTTTCATAAATGATACTGTCACTGCTAAACTGCTGCAGCCATAATTCCCATCTGTCAGCAACTAAAGTAAACTACCATAAGCAGTGTACATTATTAATAGCGCACGATTTGCAAAATTATGCAGAAATAAGAAGCAATTGGCTGCCTCGCCCCGTTCTCCTTTATCATAAGACAAAAACATAAATATCGCGCTCGTGTAGCTCTGCTAGCTCTGCTAGTACATGTATAAATTATAATTCTGTTTCAAACATTTATGAATGACAATATGAATTATATTTAAATGTAATTCTGCGATTTATCTCTTCGTATTACTTCAATTTTTATGTTAGTTTTGCCTATTCCGTTTTCTGGCTGATTCAACCATCTGAGTTTCTGTATTACAAACTCAGCTTTCGTGTATGAAACAGGAGGTTAGGTGCATTTGTTAAAAGCGTTGTGCGCAGACGTATTCGAAACAAACAAAATAGAATGAGTAAAATAGTGGTATCGTATACGATATCTGAAAGAATTTTGGGCAGGCTGCAGGCTTTACATGGGTGCCACTAGAGATAACTGCCTCAAGACTCGCAGTTCACCTCAAAAAGGCAAGAATCTACTTCCGAAAGGTAAGCAGCAACTCCTCAGGGGCAGCTGCTCATCTTTCGGGAGTAGATTCTCGCCTTTTTGAGGTGAGCTGCGAGCCCTGTGACACTTTCAATTGTTAACATAAAATATTGAATTTAATAGATCGGATTCATTTACGTATTTTGGCTGCAACACTGCGCCTTCTCTATGCTTTACAGAATACAAGTTTTTATATTTACTATTTGTTTAGGTAATATTGCCGCAAGGTTTGATGCAGGCAGCATTGATTGCGCCGATACAATTATTAATAACTATTTATTATATTTATAATTTAGTAGAAGGAGAAAAGAAATAATAATTTCTTTTGTCCTTCTAACTATTTAATAAGCATCTCTTAGTTAAAGGCATTCTCATGATGAGATATTTGACGTTATCAGGGTGTCAAATATCCTCAGGCATAGCGTCGCTGCTTTGCGACGTTCTTATATGCTTGGGCTGATTTAAAATTAATATTTATTTTACATGGTTGCCAAATAACCCATTTTTAAAAGACTAAAATTCTAACAATCGACCGTGAAAATTCTTGTTTTCGTCCCCGAAAACCCTGATGCCTTGAACTTAGAGATGCACATACTAGGACGACGTATTAACAAAATTTCTTTAATATATAGAATAACAATTACACAATTTAATGTAAAATCTATAATACAAGTAAAAATAGTAGTAGCTCCAGTAAAAGCATTAATTCTCCGTAATTTTTTGTCGGATATTATTGTTATTATACTATTATTCCATAATAACCTTGCAGTAAAATGATGTTAACAGAGAATTTTCTTTTAAATGGTTATCATTATTGTCAAATTATTTTAAAAATTCCGTCTATATATAGTTAAGATAAAAAATAAAAATAAAATAGGATACAGCAATAAAATATTGGGTATAAAACGCGATTACTTGCTAAGTACTAAATGGTTTCATAGAGATATTTTAATTGAGCGATTCCATGTCAAGTG